CTATTCGTTTTTATTTCTATCGATTGTTTACCATGATAAATAAATACATGTCTCATCATTTTTTATGTGCTATTGTTTCCGACATCATATCGATAGTAAAACACTGTTACGTTGCGTGAATTATTTTTCAATTTACCGTAACAGGTAGGGCTAATTGTCTGTATACGGAATTACAGTGTGCCTAGAAAGCTTGAAAACCCTGAACTCGTACAGATTACATCTATAGTGTATGTATATGTTTTAGTTGTTTGACTAATGTTATTTAATCAGCCTAAAGCTGTTGAATAACGTTAATTTTATCGGCTAGTATGAAGATTTTCCATTTGTATCGGTGGTTAAAATCCGAAATGTTGACATTAGCCTTATATCATTAGCTGATATTATCCGATTAAACTTAAGTTTATCCGTCCTTCGGACACTAGCCGTAACATACGTATATTTACGAAATCGATTCTTAGTCCCTGATTCTTGTTTTTATCATAACTCGCGCGGTGTTTCGCGAATTTTACTCTTCTAGTAAAACATATGTGTCTTGCGATTTTTGTGAAAGCTTTTCGTTAATTTTTCGTCTAATCATATTTAGTGATATGTATCAATGTGATAGCTCGAAAGCAATGTTTGATTTGTACCAAGGATTTCGTTGTGATTACAGTAATGTGCTGCAATTTAATATTGATTTGGGTGATCAAAACAATTTACTGTAAATTCTGTCAATATAATCAATCGGCTATCCATGTTTTATTTTTATTGGAAAACGATTTCGATACTACAATATTGGTGGTGTTAATATATTTCCCGTAAGGACTTGCAGTCTCAAGTTCGAAACGTTAATACATTTCTTTAATATATATACTAATAACGTACTCTGAATAATGACCCATTATTTAGACAATACCAAATGATTTACAAGTACTTGGGCCTAGATCGAAATCGTTCTATTCGTGAATGAAATATCAATACATAAAGTGATCAAAAATTCACTAAAAGGTGTGGTCCTTTGAAAATGGATCGCGACATTATTTGGAAAAATATGCATAGTATAATAAAGATATGTTTAACGTATATATGTTTCGGGATGAACACGTGACAACAATTATTTCTAAAATAATACAAAAATAATTTTTATTTAACTTTAATTAACAAACTTTATTTTCGAGTTACGGTAGTTTTTAGGTAAGGGTGACTGGTCTAGGTACGTGTTAGTATTAACTTTAGTATATATTAAAGTTTTAGTCGTAACTTGCTGTTACGTTTTTCACGACGAGTATTAATTGCAATCGAGTTGTCGAGTACGTGTCAATTATGAACTTGACCACGATTCCACCGTACGTGGGTTTATTTATTAAAACGGTAGTTTATGAGTTCAAACATTGTCAAATTAGCATAGTTGTGTACCGAATAACATGAATTACATTTCTGTTATTATCATAACACTTAGATAACCACATTTATAATACAGATGTTTCGTGGACGTACATTTATGTTTGGAATGAATAGTTTATTAATTGAAAAAACATACGTATTGATTTTTTTTTTCGGGTTGAATTTAATAATAGGATAATTTGTCGTATTATAAAAATAAAAAGTGTACGGCTAATGAAATATTCAAGGTAACCACGAACGGAAACGATTCGAAACAACAACAATTGCATCGATGTATTCGTGTACGGTTGTGTCCAAAACATTTTATCGGAGTCGGGCAAGTACTCGGCTTTGTAAAATTGTTCGAATCGAGTCAGAGTTCTGGACTCGACCATATTATTGCAATCAACGACAGTAGAATGTCATCGCTTCGGTATTTTATCATCACTATAACGAAATGTCATACGGATTGGTAACCGCGAATTTTTTCTCGAGTACTCGAACCCTGAACCATGGGCGTATTTTAGGGGGGGGGGGGTGAAGGGACGATCGCCCTCCCTCCCTGAATCCGTATTTAAGGAATTGATTTTATGTGAGATACACATTTCAAATTATTTTAATGTGGATCATTTTATAACGAAATCAAATTACGCGTGAACACTGAATCGGGCTTTTTGTCGGGTCCATACTTAGTGAAAAATCAAATAAAATACAAGCGTAACTTTCAGAACGCAGACAGGTGTTAAAAAGGAACCAAACAAAATCGATTCTAAGTGGATCCGGCATTAGATTAAAAAAAAAAAAATACCCCCAAAAATATTAAGGATTCCCCTGATTTAAAAATTATCAAAAATTTTACTTGTAAATGTTGAGCCTGAATTAAAGAAAAAATTTGAGTCCCCCCCCCCCCTTAAAAGTAAGTCTAAATACGCTCCTGCCCTGAACTCGCCTCGACATCAACGAACAATGTTCGTGCAGCTCTCTGTATAGTTTATTGTTCGCGCCGGGGACACCGAAACGAGACCGCCGGTTTCGCGTCGCGCGTTCGAAGGACAAACCGGTAGGCATCTCGACCGCGCGCGCCTCGGCGAAACGCGTCGGTGCGGTCTCGTCTCGCGGTACTCTACGTCCGATCCTCCGGAGAAACGATAAATATTTGCGGTCAGCAAATCATCTCTCTCTCTCTCTCTCTCTCTCTCTCTCTCTCTAGACTACTGCGCAACACACGTGATTACCGTATAACGTTTTCGTTGCGCCGCTTAACGACGGACCCGTTCTCTCCCACCGCCGTCGATCACGTAAACTCCGGGCAGTCCCCGACCGAAGATTCGGAACGTTGTTGCCGCGCGCCGCGTTTTATCGTATTTAATCCGAAGCGGTCGTGCGCGTACCGTTTGCGCGTTCGCAACAACAGTAAATAATGTAAACATCTCGGGCTTGCACTCGTCCGATATTATAATAACGCGCGTCGACCGTAAACGTGAAAATCCCGTTGGTCCGCGCCCCGTTCCGGGCGTTGTTTTGCCGCGAGTCGTCTACCCGACCCGTTTCCGGCGCCGTTCGGACGACCGAAACGAACGGAACGGTAATCCGCGGCTGTGCAACGGACACGTATCGCCGCGGTCGTGCGCGGTTCGACGCGACAAACGTACGCGCAGGGGCGGAACTAGGGGGTGGATATCGTTACATTTCTTCGTATTGGTTTTTCGCGATGATTAACGACTAATGTGATTTTTTTAACCATTTTAATTACTGATGTTAGGTTAAAACCCGATACGTATGATTATATATCAGTTGTCGGAAAACAATTCTCTAGAAGAGTAACATTTGATTATTGGTCTGTATCAGAGGTTCCCAAACAGGGTGCCGCGAGATAAAATTTAGGGTGCCGCAAAAATATTCGAAATGTATATTTATTTTTAAACGCCTTCACGAAAAATATAGCAGCACTGCGAGCAATAAAACACACTATACTCGATGTCTTTAGTATAAAACCTATTGTGTATAATTAATTAGGTATATAAAATATAATTGAATGAATTAATTATTAACACGTATAATTTTTACATAGTAACACCGAGATGTTCAATGCATTTTAATTTTCATACCGGTTCGATTGCTGTCGATTCGATGTTCTAAAGTTATTTACGGTGAAATGCTAGTGACTTTATCTTATCTTTAACGCTGAATAAAACCGAAGTTACAAAATATAAATTTAAATATACGATATATTAGTATTGCGTGTTCAGTGTAAACTATGGAGTGTAGGGCATAGGGTGTTATTTTTAGAGAAAACAATAAAGGGGGTGCCGCGAGTCGAAAAAGGTTGGGAACCTCTGGTCCATATGGTAAGTTTAACAACATTTTTCCCGGGCGCAAAAATTCCTGGTCCCGCGGTGGAAATATCCACGTCTACGCGTACACGACGGGTCTCGGCGCGTGCTCTCACCGGCCACGGTCACGGCGCACGGCCGTTAAACGATCGTTACCGCTCGGACCGGTCCCGCGGCCTATATTTTCGTACGGAATCTGTTTCGCCGTCGGACGCGCGCGCCGCGCTCATCACGACGGCGGCGCGACCGGCCGAAACCGATTTCAGTCGACCGCCCGAGTCGCGTGTTCGCGTTCCGTCCGGTGCTCGTAGCGTTGTCCGCGTCCGCCGTTTTGTATTCCATTTTCGAGCCGATATCCGATCGGTTTTATGTAATACTTCGTCAGTCGGTTTTCGTCGTCTCTTTCGCAACTCGTGTCAGCCGTACACGCACGTACGTCGTCGATAGTTTTTTTTTTTTTTGCTTTCCACCGTAACCTGTGGCTGTTGATCTGTTCCGCGTGGCGAAATGCCGCTGCACCGCACCGACGTCAAAAGGTTTTGTATTAATAACGTTCGCTGTGTACCGTTTGTACTGCGTTGTTGTGATGCCGCCGTCGTTCCGCGTTCGGTCAATCTTAAAAAAAAAAAAAAAAAATATATATCGTTACACTAATGACAATACCACGTATCTAAATTTCACCAATTGTTCAGGAGAATGAAAAAAACTGAATAAATTTTAACAAATATTAACCTCATATTTTTATCAGATTTAGTATCAAGGCCGTAACTGGAAAAAAATTTCGGGGGGGTCTAACATTATTATTTAATACAATTTATAGTTAATAAACTATATTCATCGCTAAAATGTTTCTACTTTGAAAATTTCGGGGGAGGTCCGGACCCCCCTTGGACCCCCCAAGTTACGGCCTTGTTTAGTATAGATTATACTAAATAATATATCTAATTTGGAAGGGAAATAATTTAATAATTTATTTTAGGTTATTGTACAGAAAATAAATGTTGTGCCTAAGGAGATAACAAATATTTTGATTCCAAAAACTCATTTTATGTAAAATTTCAGATACGGGGTATTGTCATTAGTGTAACGATATATATATATATATATATTATACAACGTGTAGAGAGTTTGGGAACGAACCGCGATTGGAAATCTTTACCTCGTGCGATTGTTCATAATATTCATATTCCAAACTTTCCGCGGTGCGCAGTGTCGCTCTAGCGATGCGCGTATGATTGTTATATACGTTTCATTGTGTACGCCGCGTGCGTTTATGTTAATAATATCGTGGTTTGTTTTTTACAGCACGCGTGACGCTACGTACAACAATGAGGAGGGAAGCGTGCGGATGTTCCTGCGAGGACGTCCCATAAACCTGTACGCGCCGACCGCCGACATCGCCACTTATGACATCACCAAAGTGGCCACCGCTCCTTCGTCCAAGCTCAAACTCGATTGGGTGTATCCTTTACTATATATCGATATACTTCCTGTACGGTTTTTCGATCCGCGCTTGTAATTTTTTTTTTTTTTTTTTTTTGTATTTATCATTTGGCTTCCGAGTTTAACCTTCGGACGAATCCTGAAAAAAAAATCTGAAACTCGCACCGTAAAAATAATAATATTGTTACGTATCGACTGTATGTAACGCCGGTCATGTACTTTATTAAAACGATTCACAATTTTTTTCAATTGCTTCTCAATGCAATCATTGTTTTTCGGTTAAGATTCGTTAAAAGTAGACAAGTAGTAACGAAAATTCCGTATACTTCAATTATTGCTTTATACATTTCTTTTGGTTTAAATAACAAAACTGTATAGATATATCAATTAATCTTCCAATTAGAATAGATCGTTCTAACCGTACGCACATGTACGTGTTCGTTCTATTAATTTTGAAGCATTGTAGATTTATTTTTAACTCTTACTTCCAAAATCCGCTTGTTTGATGATCATTATTTTTTTCATGTCGCAACATTGCTAACTGCAAGTCGTTTCTACAAACCGCAATCTTCTATTACATCAAAGTGTGTGTGTTTACATACACTGAACAACAAAATATGCGCTCTCGGTCCGAGTGAATGTTCCGAAATATAACCTTGTGTCAAATTCACAATATTTTGTTATTTGACATCCATTGTCCGCGTTTGAAATTATTTCTTCGGTAAACAAATGATACGTCTACGATCGGCGTTTTTCGATGCATTTTGTACATAGTGCGATAGAAAATTATAGGTGGTTAGATATTAAAAATGTTTATCACTATATCTGTACACATTTATACATTGTACATAGAGTAGGTAGTGTACGTGTTACTACATCAATAATTACGACATTCATTACTGATCACCAGACATAAAATTACTCTTGCCACGGTTTGTGGCCCAACTGCATATTACTTATTGTGCATTTCTGTCTAACCACTCGCACGAGTTGTTTTTTTTTATCGTGTTACGTTCTGCGTGTGTTTTGTGGATTCAAAAATTGTTTTACTAGTCACCTCAGCAGTAAGTTTCACATGTTGATCCCGGGGACCTGTCGAAGTCTTTCGGATTCGAACTTTCGCGATGATCGCAACGACTGCTGCGGTCGACTATAGACTATACATTGTCGGAATATATTCTGGTTAGGTTTTCTAACCCGACGATCGATTTAAATTTTCATCGATTTTATCTTTAAAACTTCAGTATAGGATTATTATTTTTTGTTCCCGCATTGCCTAATAATGTCCAAACTCGTAACAACTGACCCCTAGCCTGGACTATTGTTATATTGATTATAGACCTCATTCAATATTTATATTACATCTACAATGTTCGGTCGATATTCACATTGGTCAATACTTTTCTATTGTAAATAAAATATTGATGTAAACCTTTACATAAACGTATAATTACATTCATTAGAAACTGGTAAATATGACAATAATTTTCATTAATTATATTTAAACTGTGTAATCGCCGTTTAGTACATGGTAGAATTATGCTAAAAGAATTCTTACACCATGGTTTTCTAATGTCCATTGTAGAAAATTCATAAACTACTTATCGTGTAATTATGTGCAATAATATATTTAAATATTTATTTGACAAAAATTATAGTTGTCCCCTTAAAAACTAATTTAATCCATGTGTATAGTTAATTCATGTTAACTTACCCATAATGAATAAAATAAACAAATGTTTTTCGAAACCGTAATTAAACGAGTCAATATTATCTTTTTTATTTATAATAATTGACCATGTATTGACTACGTTGACAGAAACACTATTTTATTTACGTTGGGCAAATCAATTATGTTTATTAGTTTCGTACTTTCGCCCGTTCGATAATTTTGATTAATGGTCTTTGTGATAACCGTTATGGACAGTGTTTTACATTTTTCGAGAATACAAATGTTCACAATATGCATAGTCATCATAATAATTTTATACATTAAAAATAAAATCAAAAAATCTTTATTAGAATTTTTTAATCCATACGCACTTCTACTTACGCGACTTGATATGTCGAATTCAAATGTACAATATTTTAATATTGATTGATGTTACGAAAAAAATTCTTCCTTATCCGAATATTTGAACAGTTATGGGTACAGAGGGAAAGACTGCCGTTCCAATTTATATTTGTTACCCACGGGCGAAATGGTATATTTCGTGGCATCCGTGGCCGTGCTCTACAACGTTGAGGAACAGAGCCAGAGGCATTATTTGGGACACACCGACGACATAAAATGGTATGGTTTTACAATAATCGCAGTATAGCCCGATACGGGATTTACACGATCTGTTTTTTTTTTTTTTTTTTTTTTAACCAATCCCGGTTTAATCGATTTTCTCTATTTTCAGTTTGACCATCCATCCCAACAAGTTGTTGGTGGCTACGGGCCAGACTGCCGGACACGACAGTCGCGAGGGAAAAGTAATGATGAACATTAATATTTAAGCGAATAATACGATTGCATTAAATCGTATCCACACAAATGTGTATTATAACTCGTGTATTTTTTTCCTCGCACAGCCTCACATTCGAGTGTGGAATTCCGTCAGCTTGGCCACGGTCGTCGTCCTTGGGTTGGGAGAATTCGAACGGTCCATCAGCTGTTTGTCTTTCTCTAAAGCGGTAATATTTACAATCGGGGTTTTTACCGTAAACACGACCACGTTAATCGTTATGATGATTTTTCTCTACAGGACGGCGGTAGTCTGTTGTGCGCGATCGACGAAGGGAACGACCATAACATATCCGTTTGGGACTGGCAGAAGAACGAAAAGGGTCACAAGATCACGGAGACCAAGGTGTTTAGAAACATTTGTCGAAAAATATTGTTGTATAATTATTATTTCGCCGTCACCAGAAACTAACGATTGCCTTTATTTTTTCTTCTGTAAATAGTGCTCGATGGACACCGTTGTTGCCGCAGAGTTCCATCCACTGGAACGCAACCAGATCGTCACCTGCGGCAAGGGTCACATCAGTTTCTGGACATTGGACACGGGCGGCACCCTGTACAAGCGCAACGGGATATTCGAAACGACCCGGGACCGTCCGAAATACGTGACTTGCTTGGCATTCACGCAGAACGGAGATGTGTTGTCCGGAGATTCCAACGGGTCCGTCGTCATATGGTCGCGGGGTGAGTGATTGGATATATGGTGTTCTGGGCCGTTGTAATTTTTACCTCCTCCAACTTTTTTTTATGAACTCATAAAAATTATAGTTATTATAACTATAGGTTGTGTAATTAATATAACCACGACATTTAAAAAAAAAAAAAAATGTTCTACAGTACCAACGCATTTCCTGAATACGTCTTTACGTTGTATTTTTGTTCTTCTATTGTATAGTTTTTATGTTTATTTAATGATTTAACGTTTTTTCTTGGTCACAGGTACAAACAATATCAAAAAAGTCGCTAGAAATGTCCACGAGGGATCGGTATTTTCCATTTGCGCTCTTAAAGAGGGAAGCATCATAACCGGTGGCGGTAAGGACGGAAAACTGATCCAGTTCGACACTTCGATGCATCCCACTGGATATGAAGCACAAGTATAAACTATATTACAGTACAGCTGGCATAATAAATAGCGTACCGTTAACCATTATAAAGTAATAAAATTCGAAACTTTAATAAAATTTATGTTATTCATATTATATTGTACGTACAATTATATGAGCTATATGTATATTTATAGTATATGATTATACATCTTCTCAAGAAGAAAATTTCTTGCAAATTATTTTTTATAAAATTCCATTACTACTGACTAAATATTGATCATAATAAGTCAAATTTTAAAGAATTTGTTATCAATTTACACAGTTGTCAGATTTGAGTTTAGCTTAAGTTTAATTTATCATTCTTTCAAATATTCTATTAAAAATAAATGTTAAAATTTTCGTATTCAATGCATAACTAACTCAACTATTGATTAAAATCTTTTTAACTTAAACTAAAAATTAAATACATTATTTACAATGACAATTTGTATTGTAAAATTCCATATGTTTTTTAGATTCTAGTTAAACGAGAAACGTATTGGTTTTATCATGATGTATTTTTTTTCTGTGTATATTATTTGACAAAAAATTGTTCTACCACACAATCTACTACCAACTAATAAGAAATGTTGTTTGATTGGTACTTTGAAGAGAATCATTTTACAAACTTTCCATCAGTTTTCTTAATTATTATGAATAACTGACAAGCAAATTAAAAAACTGGCAATATTTATGGCATACCAGTTTTCAAGAACAAATGGTTTAGTTTAATTAAAAGATTATTACATCAATACTATTTACCTATATCTGTGTTTCACCTGACTAGAGTCTCATCCCATCTAGGACGTTTTTTTTTAAAATGTACCTATCATTTATTTATTTTTTACTTTTAAACAAAAAATTATTAAAATGTATTATTTATAACTCAAATTCATGCAAAGTACAATAAAAACAATATTTTACTGTATAGATTATTAAGACTTCACTTCAAACCACCCGAAAAGATTTGAATTACAATCAAAGTTAATTTTTTCAGTTAGTTTATCGATGAATATTATTGACCTAATATGTTATTTTTCGTTGACTACTAATTACTTTTCCCTAAAAAAAAAAAATTACTTTACTAAAATAAATTAAATTTAGGTGTTTGAAAATTTTGCCCATACAAAAATATCATCTTATAAGACACTTGTAAGAATATTTTGTCCTGTATTAACTAGCATAATCAATAATGTATTTGTTTATTTGATTCAGATGCATTTTAATATATGTTATAATTTGTTACGGTTAATTTATGGTTTTGATTTATTATTTTAATCTATGTATAAGTTGAAATTTTAGTCTTTGTTTTTTACGCTTCATTAATTCTATAAAATGTGTAATGATTTAAATTTTAACATGTGTAATAATTTAAATTTTTTAAAAATTAAGGTAGCTGAGCACTTGGGAGGTATTCGTACAGTATCTGAAGGTCGTGGATCACAGTTACTTGTGGGATCCACTCGTAATTGCATTCTGATAGGATCATTGTCAATGGGCTTTAGTCCAGCCGTTCTAGGCCATACCGATGAATTATGGGCCTTGTGTCCTCATCCAACATTGGCTCAATTTCTTACAGCTGGATTTGATCGTATTGTACAACTTTGGGACTCGTTGTCTCACTCTGTTGTATGGAGTAAAGACATTGCAGTGAGTATTACTGGAACTATACTTACTATATTACTCAATACTTTATAAAACAATTTTTTTACTTGATCTTTTTTAACCAGGAACAAGCACAATCTGCTGCTTTCTCTAGTAACGGTCATATAATTATTGTTGGTTGTGTGTCGGGTAAATGGATTGTTATGGATTCAGAAACTCGAGAAATCTATTCGACTCACGTTGATGGAAATGAACCGATTCAGGTATGATACTAACCATAATTTTGCTTCAGATAATTATCAAATTTATGATTATATATTTTCTTTAAAGGTTGTGAAATTCTCTCCAGACGGCCAACTGCTTGCATTGGGTTCCAGGGACAATTACATCTATATTTATCAAGTCACAGATGGTGCCAAGCATTACACTCGTTTAGGCCGTTGCACTGTAAGTTTTGGTCGATCTATGGTTAATATTTTTACCACCTCCAACATGTGTATATGAATCTATTACCTTATATTAATTGTACATTTACCTGTTGAACTCCACATAATTATTTTTGTTGAACTAACTTTATATTTAGTGTTGGGAAGACAAATGCCGCAGAAGATGTAGTACCGGCGCTATTATTGACAAATTGTCGGTATGTGTAGGTTGCCTGTAGAGCCAAATTGCATGTAGATAATGATTTTGTGTAGAGAGAAATATTGATCGAAAATTAGCTTCACATCATAATAAGTAGTCAAGATAAAATACAAATTTGATTTATTCCTTTACAACCAATTTAGTTTTAGATTATTAAAATGTAATGATCATTTTATGATCACCTACTCTTTTAAATTATAATTTGATATGCTATCAACAATTTTTGAAAATAAATTAAATTCGCTTTATCATCAATATGTTTGTTGATTGATGATAATTTTATTTATCATTTATTTGTTCCTGTTGTTTTCATTACTACTAATGGAGACAATTGTATTATTACATTTTATGTGTGTTTTTCATGTACATTATTTTTATTCAAAATGTAATTCATATTAATTCATACTATTTTTTAATTGAATTAGGGTCATTCAAGTTTTATCACTCATATAGATTGGTCCTCAGATAATGAATACTTGCGTAGTAACTCAGGAGATTATGAGCTGTTATATTGTAAGAAACATTTTATTTAAAAGCATTTTGTATTTTTTTTTTTAAACAATTTAAGTTGTATATTATGTTAGTATAATAATTCTAATCTATTAATTTTTGTAGGGAAAGTGAAAGTTTGTCGTCAAGTGCCTCAAAGCACTCAACTAAGAGACGTTGCTTGGGCATCCAACTCTTGTGTTTTATCATTCTCTACAATAGGAATTTGGCCTGAAGGTGCTGACGGTACTGATGTTAATGCATGCGAGCGATCTAACAAAGCCAAACTAATGGCTACAGGAGATGACTTTGGTAAAGTGAAACTGTATTCGTACCCGGTCAAGCAACCAAAAGTATGTCAACACCACATTATTGTATTATCATTCAAACAATGCAATTCGTTATTAATACTCTGTTCTATACAATACATCTTGTTTGTGATATAATATTTATGAAATACCTTAACATAATTAATTCTTATTTTCTTCATGTTATGTTCTTATTGACTTTATTTTATAACATTGCTCCATCATTTTTAGTTGCTCTTACATTTTGCATTGTTCCAACTGTATCAGATTTAATCAATGTATCATATTTTGAACATGTTATAAATTTTAATTCTGTTGTTTCTGCAGTCACTGTGTCATTCATACGGAGGTCATAGCAGCCATGTGACAAATGTAACTTTCTTGCACGATGACTCCAGACTGATATCGATCGGTGGAAAGGATACCAGTGTTCTGCAATGGCAAATCATATAAGATGATTGTTGAATCTTATTATAATATCATTTTTATTATTATTATATTATCGTCCAAATGATTTCTTCACTATTATGAAAAAAATAAAATATTGAATTTATAACATTATTTATTATTGTTTAGTGTTTTAATAATATTCACTTTATGACAGATACAGGTCCAAGTGCAATGTTTATGTGTTACTCAAATGTTCTATATTATTACTACACATTCATATACATTATTGTCGATAGTTGTTAATTGTTTATGTACGTCCATGGTACACATTATACTATAACTATTATTATTCTTATTATTATCACTCGTTTTTTGTCGGATTGTATTAATTATTATATACTTACATGTTTTTTTTTTTTTAATTATTAAACGTAATATTTATGTGTCTCTAGTTAATTGTTTATTGTTCATTTTTATTATCAATTACCTTTATAACAGTAATAATATTTTTTTATTCTATTTACAATTTTTACTCTAAAATTAGTTATTCGGAGCATCAAGCAGTAACAAAATAACAAAACGTTTTATTGATGCTTGTTTCACCCAATAAAACTAGTATCTAATCACTCGGATCATTAGTGTATGAGTATATATATACTATATATGTGTAGTATATATTAGTGTACCTATGATGTTTCGTTGATAAATTTATACATCTATACCGTCAATCTAATTTCTAAGATGTTAGAGAATTTTTATGCGCAAACATTACACTTAGTACTTAATTTGTACAACTATTTAATAACTTCATACGCCAGCCCTGCCAGTTCTGCAAAATATCGATTCTACCTTATCAATATTGATAGTTTAATTTTTTTTTCACAATTTTCTTCTTAGCTATGTGTATGAATTTTCTTGGCCGTTCTCAAGATTTTTTCTCCAGTTTTTGAAAATAATTGTTCCATTATTGTTGCTATTTTTAATTTATCTAGTGTCTTGCGGTTATTTTAAAATAATTTCACTTGATTATAAATTACTGTGTAAGTAATTTTGTTTCAAAAAATAACCAATTCATCTTGTAATTTAGGAATTAAAATATAACTGTCACAGTTTTTTATTAAACTTAATGCTTTCTATTTAAAACCTTGTCCATGATAAGTTGTGACTATTTTACAAATTATAATATTTTTGATATACGATATACATTGGTTCAACAGTTTTATTAGGAACAAAAACAGAATCAAGTCCTGTATGTGAAATTATATTTTTATTTCTATTAACATATTCTGTTATTCTATTATTATTGATATTTTTCATTTATTCTGTTTGCTGTGTGTGAGTGTGTCACATAATAATTTAACTTTTTAATAAATTACATTGTTATTAAAAAAATTAAAACAAGAAGAAAAAAAAAACCAATTCATATATTTTACTATCAGTAATTTTTACATGACCTCGATAGACCTTAAGTATTTCCCGATAATGAACGGATTGTTTTCTCCCAAAATGATTTTACAAATAATAATTTTTTAACCCTTCAATGCATGATTATTTTTTTTTTTTTTTTTTCTAATTATTGTCTGTTAAATTTTATTACTGAGAATTCGGTAAAAATGTTAAAAAAATCAATATTCAATATTAAATTTCTAAAACTTGAAAGTTAAAAGTACGTAGCATATTTGCTAAACCATGCATTTTCAGAAAATTGTTGAAAATTGCAGAAAGTTGTTTGGTGAAAACATATTGTCGTTAAAGTGAATAATACGCCTAATTTTATCAAATTTGATTTACTGACATAGTTTTTTGTATCAATTTACTGTCCATAATTTCATTCCAATAATTACGAACATTTGACAAATATTTCATTCCAATAATTACGAACATTTGACAAATGATTTACCGACATTACAACACATGTACCATTATGTTTTTTTAAGCTCAGCTATAGTTAAATCAAATGGTTTATTTGGATTCAGACTGATAGAAGAATATTTAGAACTTTCAAAGTAAATATGTTGTAGCAAATCATTGGTAAAAAATATTCAAAAACTTTTCGTAGTATTTCTAATTCTAGAATATGTTGAGGCAATAACATGTCACCTTTAAACTCTATATCACTTTCGTCAATTTTAAATCCTCTTTTTTTCCAATTCATATTAGGTACTCATTATGTTCGATACTGTGAACATTTTCCGTGTTTTGGGAGTTGTAGTAGGGCTAATGTCTTCAGAATATAAACTATTTCCCACGGTACTGAGAGGCACATAATTTTTCGATCTAGTAACAGGGGAACTACTTCCGATCAGTTCTAAATCAAGGGCTTGTTCTCGGACAGTTGATTCTACAGAACTCACATTCTGAGCATCAGATAAATCAGCATCATCAAATACCGACAAAATATACTTTCTGAAAATTTTTGAGTTCGCCACGCCACCGCCCGCATGTTAGCCCGCACGCAGGGCCGTATTTATGCCTAGGCCGGCAAATTTTTTAAGAAATAAAAAAAATCATATAAATATTTTATGCATTCATGTAACTGCGTAAATTAATATTATATAATATTTAATAGTAGTATAAATAATATTTAATATTAAAATATACGGGGGCATGACACTGAAAATGTCAACAACACGAAATCAATTTTCACGTAATGTGAGCTATAAAGATAAGATACCTAGGTGTATGATATAAGTTGTTCCTAAAAGTAATTACGATAATAATATAATATATACAGAAGTTGGCTAGAGATATTGTGTATCCACATCGCACACGACGAATTAGAATTGTTAATTATTTGTTTTGTTTATAATGGCTATCGACCTAATTTCTTTAAAATTAAATACATTTATTAGAAATAATTACAAGATTTTTTTTTTCTTGGGATAGGGGCGGCATATTTAAAAGGGCCTAGGGCGGCACTTGTTCTAAATCCGGCCCTGCCCGTACGGTATACGGTATCTCGGACAGGAACGCGTAAGTACCGCGCGCAGGATCGCAACTCCACGACGAACAATATTCGTGTTTCGCTTTCCATTCATGTACATCAATACGATGTACATTGCACATATATAAAAGGTTTTCCGTTCTTATTGTTTTTGATAGTAATTTATTATTTTTTTTTTTTATAATACGCTGCGGCTGCGGTTACCCGCGCGAGTTTTGTTTTGTTTTTAGCTCTCGCAGACCCTACACACACACACGCGCGCGCGCGTACAAATATATATACATTCGGTGCTTTATTATCTTTTGGGTTCATAGTTGAATAAACTAAGAGCAATTTCCCTGAAGGGATGTATTAGCCTTTGCAGTCAACCGAACGCACAAACATCGTTTGCTGTAGCACCTGTTCGGCTCTCCCGATTCCCATATCACTAGTCACCCGGCAAAGACCGCAAACGACTCCTATTTGCCTTTGTTCGCCGTCGTCTTCGCCTTTATACAAATATATATTGTATACGTATATACGCGTACACGTATAAAATACAACGTATATAAGGATACAAATATACGTATAAAATGTAGTCTCGCGGTTTCTCTTATTTTTCGCGTACTCCATTCTACTTTCAATAAAATATACATATCTCCGCGGTATTATTTATTTATTTCTCGCGCGTTTCTCGGAATCCAGTGTATCATTTACTCCGCGGTTGCTATTGTTATTGTTGTAACGTTTTTTTATTTTTTATTTTATTTTTTTTGAATTTTTTTTTTTTTAATATTGTACAATTATATGGAGATGCATATGTTTGTACTTAGTTGTAGAAATTTATCTCTTTCCGTTCCGCGACGACGATTGCAAAAGAGTCGATGAATATTTTAAGGTTATCGAACAAAGCTAGAAGAAAAAAAAAACTCCTGCAAAAATCTTATTACGAACTTCAAGAGCAAACAGCTTCCCGTGAGTCGGTCAACCTTATTTCATCATATTGTATGCGTACACGTTTGAAAAAATAACTGTTATTGTATTTATTAATTAACAATAAAATCATTAAAATACGGTGAACTAACGCGGTTATTGATGACACACATTTTATTTTATTAAACTCGCAGTCAATAAATAAAATTATCGAATTAAAAATGATATTATTGGCTTAATAGTTGTATTTTATACATCTGGGAAGGAATCTTACCGAAATAGTTCATTAAATTTACCATATATTAATTGATTCTATATTTATATTTATTAAATTATATACAATTTTATTTGAGTTAATAAAAAACAAATATACAAACAACAATTATTTTATTACATTCATACAAACAAGTAATAAAATCGGTGTTGATTTGATTAATTAAAAACTCTTAATTGTAATTAATTTAAACTGAATCTGATTGTTCGATAATATAAATAAATAATAATTTTATTGAACCTATAAAAACTATTTGGTTGATAGTTGACAATTTGTTAAAATTTACGGGTCGAGAGTAGTCAACGGCAACCATGTGAAACGTCCGACAACAAATAATAAAATATTATTTATTAAGTTTATTCAGTCTTGACGGTTCGAAAAAATAAACATTTTTACCATATTTTTAGTCGTACAAAGGTTTATAATAATAAAAAAAAAAAATACCGAAAACCGGAAGGAAAAAGTCACTGCTGCTGCCGGTGATCAAGTGGTACCAGCGAAAATCAGATAGTTTACGAGCGGCTACGAAAATCCGAACGCGTTCACCGGTCAGCCGCAAACGTTGTCCATAGTAGAAAAACGAGACAAACGAACAAAAACGGACAAGATGAAGTAAGTGCTTGACTGACATCGGTATCGATATGCGGTACTCGTATAACGTAGTTACACGTTTTGTCCGATGTCGCGAATAAGGACAAGTATACCGTTTTGCCATTCATCCGATCGGGATATGCGTTTGTTTTCAAACGTTCGTGTTTTATTTTTGGAAAACATCTCATCGGCTTATATCGTTGCATTTCGACGAATATTCTTCGGCAGAATGCGTTATCGTTAACAGTGAATACGAAACGTTAACGGTCACCCATCCGAGAACTAATGATCGGAGAAACGGTGTAAAACCAATTTTGCATACGCCATATCCCTCTAATCGTACTATACCGTACTAAATGGTTGCAAGAGTGTGTTCAGACTGTCTATTAATCGACCAACAATCGCTAAATCGAATGTATTGACAATTCGTCGAATAAAAAAAAAAAATCCAACACCGAATAGTATTACAAAAGAAAACTCGTAATTACACAAACATAATATGCAGTCGTATTATCTTGAACACGTTCGATGTTTTTTTTTTAAGTTTTTTGCATTTCTTCCGGGTTATATTGTCTTCCGATCTACAAAAAAATATCAATAAATACTGTCTTAGTTAAATAAAAAAAAAAAAAAA